GACGACAGCTGCGGGGAGCGGCGATATAAAGTTGTAGGGTTTGATGGTGAAGGAGTCAAGAGAGAGGGAGAGGGGTGAAATAGTCGGGTAACGTGATTTCTGATCGTGTGAGCCTTATATAGGTCATGCCCCAACTCCATGGGATTTCAAATCCGGTGGAGTTGCATGCTAGCTCGACAGAGAGCAACGCTATCTGGACTGAGGCCTGCAAACTTCACGGGATTTTAAATCCCGTGAAGATTTTGGCCACTTAATCACATAGTTAACAAATGACTTAAACTTCATGGGATCTGAAAACCCGTGAAGTTTTTGAAGATTTTTCGCCAAATTCGACCCAGACTGGGTCAAATTTGACAAATATTTTTGAAATAGGTTGATTTTTGCAAATATTTTTCCTAAAGTGGTCGAAAACGAATATATATATATATAATAATAATAATAATAATAATTAAAACATTATTGTTATTTTATCATTTATTTGCAGTTATTATTTCCTTCAATAGCCTATATAAACACATGCTCATCTCTCCTCCCCTCTCTCTGTTCGTTCTTCTTCAAAATTATTCTCTAGTTCCCTCTCCTTTAAGTCCCAATGGAAGAAGCGCAAGGTACGCCTTTTCGATTCTAAGTATTGAGTTTTGATTCTTGTCCTGTTTTCGTTGCAAAGTTGCTATCTTTCTCCTATTTCTTTCTTTGTTTGATCTGTTTAATTTTGTATTAGATTTGATCCCAGAACTGTTGAAAACGGAAAGCAAATAATGGGTTTTCTTTAAATTTTCCCTTCACTTTGGTTCCATGAGAAAGCTGTTTCCTTTATCGCCGTTCTTAGGAAGAAGAACCGGAGATCAAGTTGTCTAATTTTTTTTCTCTCTTCTAATATCTTGATTATTTCTCGGTTTTAAATTGAAAATGTGGGCATTTAATAAATTCGCTGCTATTTCTGTATTATTAAGTCCAAAATTGAAGTTTGCTGTGGATTTTGGTGAAGGAATGTGATTATGACCTCTGGAACTGGAAAATTCTGAGATGCGTTGAGGACGATGGATGGTTATTTTGCCTACTAATATTTGATTTTTTTAAAAATAATCTAAACAAACTTGATCCATTTATCGATATTTTTTTTCTCATTATTGATTATTCACGAGTCAAAAGAAATTGGAATCAAGTTCACCTTTTATCTTGACTGACTAGCACAGGGATTTTGGAATCAAGATTTTACCTTTTTCATGGACGGTGAAGGATGATTTGCTTGACATGCACCTTCCCTTTCTCCTTAAGAATCATTCTCTTATATCAAGCAAACATTTTTTTTTTCTTTTAGATAATAAAAGATAATTTGTTTGTTGGCATTTCTTTTTATTTAATCAGTCATAGACTTCTTTTGAGTAAATTTGACGAGTCAATAGGCTTTTGGATCAAATACCTTCCTTCAAGAAACTTACCGAGTCGTTGTGTCTCTTATTAAGTCTCCCTTTATTATAATCATGCTACCAATTTTATATTTTAAAAGATGCTTTAGTTG